ACAAGAGCGCCTCGATACATACTGTTCAAATCCTTCTTTCTTGCAATCGGCTGGAGGTATCGCTATGATCTTTCACACACGTTTTTAAAAAGATTGAAACGGCCGAATATCAAGATCGTCTATTTTTTACCGTATTTCTGACCATAAAAACTTCATCCCAAAATATCTCGATAACGCTCTTACAGATTTCGCTTAAACTTTTACGAACATCGAGGCGGCTATTGGAGGAAAGAGCTCCCGTAAACGATTTTGGAAGAACAGTTCCTAGTGCCAAAAAATACTGCGCAGCAAGTAAAACAGGTAATGGCGTCATTTTGTTGATATGACAACTCCGATATCATCCCAACTCTAATCATAACAAATTTTCATCTTTGTCTAATACAACTGTGGTGGCGATTATTCCAAATCTTTATTTATGGCGACGTAGTTTATGCTGCAACTTGGGAGGTATTGACGCACCTTAACAATGAATTTCTTGCTTTACTTAACACAGTAAATAAGACCGCAGTATTTTTTGAATGCACATGACATTTATTTTGTTGATTTGTGTAGTAATATACATTGTTTGTAGACGTACTACGCAAAAAAATTAAAAATGGCACTAATAAATAAGCTAGCACTAAAGTACCTATTACCCAAAATGGTTACATAAATATGATGGCTATGCTCATAAAATGGCAAAACCTGTTTTGTGCATATATAGATAGATAGATAGTATATTCATAATCACATCGCAACCCAGAGGTTGAACGAGGTGATCATTTTCAAATAATTATGATCACTTAAAAATACTACCACTAATAAGAAACTATTATAAAGCTTTGAAAATGTAAGAAACGAGTAATAGAAACAATACGTGGATACACTATAGTAAAATTGTGATTTGTTAAAAAATAAATTAAAGAAATCGACATGATAAAAAGCAAGCAAAACCTTGTAAAGCTATAGAAAACATCAACTTGCTACAGGTCCTTGAAAACAATCACTCAATGAAATTTATGTACATTGATTATTGAACTAATTCTTAAGCACCGGTACCGTAAATGATCTGATAAATGCCCTCAGTCAAATAAATGCCTACTGCTGTCTTAAAAAAACCTCCCTATGTTTTTAAGTTTGTATTACATGCCTCTCTCTAATAAACACCCCCTAGCTGTCTAAGAGACACCCCCGCATGATGATTGCTCTAAAATCTAGGAAATGGCGGAAAAGCAAACTAATTCAATTTATTCAGATTATAAGAGTATATACATTGCAACTTAGTCAGTGTCAAGTTGAAAGTAAGAATAGTGACATTGAAGTTGAGTTTTAAAAAAACTATATGGATCTCTAAACGGCCTAGACGTATCAATGGACAGACTGTATAGTCTGCTACTTTAAAACTGTGGACAGCATATTAATTTTGTGGAGCTTGAAATAGTTATAACATTAAATGCCTCCTTGGACTCCTATCTTAAAAATTAAATAGAAAAAGAAGCCCTTTACACAAAAATACCCTGCTGAAAAACCCTTTGGGAAAAAAACAGCAGGCTTTACAAAAAGTTAATATACACTGTGTAAACAAATCTTTAGTCTTTCTCGCAGTCATTGTTGTCTCCTAGGAGCTTTGCATGATGGGACAAAAACGGTAGCGAGGGAGACTCAAATATGTAGAGAGGACAAAAATTTAAGAACAATTTATCAAACTAACCAAGAGAAAGATGTTATCTCAGTCTGGCTCATAGTATGCATGAAGCCCCAAGGAGCAAGCTGACTCCAGTTGCATGTACTTCTCTTTTCAAAAGTTCCCTGCTGCATTATGCCAGGGAGTATTTTCAATTCACAAAAACCCTACAAAACAAGTTTATTTAACTCCCACAAGTCTCCTGCAACTATGAGTCTCTTGTAACATAGTAGTAGAATGGGGGGGGGGGGGGAGACTAAGTTCCAGTACTATGGAGAAGTGT